AGGGTCCTCCAGAATCCTAGCCTATGCTACGGCATAGTTGAGAAAAGAATAAAGCATTCTGCCGGCCATCTGTCTTTTTGGAGATGCGCCATGCATACCATTTCGACTCGTAGTCGTGGTCACATTTGAATGCAAAGTGGTCCATACCATAAGTTGTGACAGCCATCCACAGCCAAGTCAGTGTTTTACCCAGGCGAACCCAGGTTTACCCAGGTGTGGGTGTGGTTCACTAGGACAGAAAGCGACTTTTTCGCGTTTCGCAGCGCGAAACATTTTTCGCTGCGGGAATCTCGGGTCCACTGATTTTTCGCTGCGGGAACCTCGGGTCCACTGATGATCAGCGGTGGACCTGAGGTTCCCGCAGCGAAAAATGTTTCGCGCTGCGAAACGCGAAAAAGTCGCTTTCTGTCCTATTGAACCAACCCAACCTAGCATCAATCATTTCACCCTGGAAATATGGAAGGTTTGACCAGCATGGGTAAGGTTTAATCCGAGATTTTATCTCTGGACCGTGCACGCGGAAGGTGGCACCGCTCACCCCTACAGTATCTCCATCCTTTCTATGATACACGGCTGCGAAAATAATCATGAGAAGAAAATGTGTGTTCTGGAAAACGTGAGCATTGTAATTTTGGGTTATGTGTCGGTGAACAATCAGTGTGTCGCTTGGCCCGAGAGACAGCCCTTGGCCGTTTACGACGCCTCCAGAACTTTTGACAGATCAAAATCATCTCTTTATCAAGCCGCTCCTTTACTGGGGCGAGTCCGTAGCCACAAGGCCTGGCGATAACTATGCTCACACATAGGCGGTAACTTTGATGTCCACCCTTACGAGGACTTCTGGCCAAACCGCAGGCTGCGGGTAGACCTTGCCTGACCATGAGAAAAAGGACTAAAAACAAAACGGGTGGAAATCTCCCAAGACGTTGAGAGCTTGTTGCCGTGAGAGCGAAATGGGGTGATGCATTGCCCAGTCGATGAAGTTTGTAGTCTATCATGCTATTCCTGGAGAAGGCTAGATGTAGATGTAGCCGGTGGATCGATTCCGGATCCTAGGGTTGAGAATAACAACATAAATACTACACAGTTACTCCGCGACACAATAGCTTTTCAATATTTAGCGCGGTAAGTCTGCTTTCACGGATCTCTTTCACTTAGGGTCTCTCTCTGAAAGATCTCTACCCGGATTAGTGGTGAGGTTACGTGGCAAAAAAAAAAAAAAAAAAAAAAAAAAAAAAAAAAAAAAAAAAAAAAAAAAAAAAAAAAAAAAAAAGGGGGGGGGGGGGGGGGGGGGGGGGGGGGGGGGGGGGGTAGGA